TATTATTGTTTTCACTATTCAATGTATTCATGATATTGTCCTCTAAAATAAATATACATTAAATTCTCAATTAAATTCATTTAAATTAAAGTAGTTTATAGTGTAGTGATTAGATGTAGAAGTATAAAATACTACTAGTACTATTTATTAAAGAATATTTAATAATGAAATAATATTATTTTTAAAATGTATTTGCATATGCACTATATATAAATAAAAACTATAATTCAATAATATAGAAATAGAAAATGTATTTAATTTTTTATTTGCACATGCACTATATATATAAGTAAAGACACTATTTAATAGTAGTAGTATTTTTTTATTTGCACTATATATAAAGACAATAAAGTTTTTACAAAATTATTAATATATATTATTATTATATATTATATTAATATATTAATAATATTGTCATCCAAATACATTTAAATTCTAAATATAAATGTTTTTTTTTTATAAAGCTTGTAAATTTTTTTATTTGCACTATATATATAAATAAATAAAGACCATATTTAATAATAATCATATAGAAATTTATTTGATTTTGTATTTCTTTGCAAATGCACTATATATAAACAAAGACTATATTTAATAATATTATATGACAATTTTTATTACTGATGTGTTTGTCACTTCTTACAATTCATAATTAAACTGCACTATTTCAATCATAATATATACTATATATTTTTATAGTTACAATGTGTTTACTTTGGTAACATGAATTTTAGATTCTGTATATATTGTACAGCTCTAGCAGATTAATCCACACATGGAAAATTAACTGATTGGTAATATTGATTTTTTTTTTTAAAGTGTCACACACAAAAAAAAGACACAACTTGAACATATTGGTACGCAATCAAATGTTTAATTATACTCAATAACTGGCAATAATCACACTCAGTTTGGCCAAAGGAGTTGAACATGTTAACTCAGATCATTTTACTTCCAAAAACAGATTCATACAGTGTGGCAACAACTTGCACTGTACTCATTTTTACTGAAATTAAAGCACTGCCTTGAATTTCATTAAAATGCACAAATAAAAAGTTACCTGATTGATAAGGCTACACATAAAAGAAATTACAGCAGGGATGTATAAAAAAAGAAAATACTGTACTGTACAGAGGCAAAGTAATTAGTTAGCCAAAAACAAGTCACAGTGAAGTTTTCATAAATGTATAATATGCATATATTATGTATACAGGTTGGTGAACAACATTCAATGATAAATCTGATACAAAACTGAGGGTACAGGTTGTAACCTCTGTAAGGACAGCAGTTATGTTACAGAAATACAAACTATAACACTGAGGAGTAAATCTGGGCTCAAATTTTGGCTGGTTGCATTTAGCTATACACACATACACATACAGATATCTCACAACGCACGACACCCATAATACACATAATGAAAAAAAAGAACCAAATTATTGCTGTGTAAGATGTATGTACAGATTCTTTCATTATAAAACAACTAGGCCTACTCTTTGGAGGTGAGAAAGAGTTCCAGGGCACGGATCGGAGCTCCAGGGAGGGCACTAGCGGTGTCCATATTTGGCAGACCAGTCTGTTCGCCCGTGGATGGTCTGTACCGGTGGGCGAGGCAGCAGACCAGGGGTGCTCTTGTTGGCCAATAGCACGTTGGCAGAGGTGTTCATCGGACTCCGGCCAGACTGCCATGTTGCATAATCTAAAAACAGCATTTAAACAGGGATGAAAATACAATGAACAGGTTTGTTTGTTAGGAGGCTGGGAACAATAAAGGTTCATATGAGTTCAAATAAAGCTCTGAAAGTCATCCTCACTTGACGCTGTTGATTCCGCTGAAGGGCCCTGATGCACCCGGTGACCAGCAGAACCAAGGTCTTTTTTGTAAAACGACGGCATGTATCCGCCCGGGATTGTATTTGTACCTGATATTAAAAAAACAAACAACAGTGAGAAGCGGCAGACATTGCAGTGAGGTTAAGTGTGAGATGTCCTGGGAGATTTACCGTGAGCGCCTCTGCTCGGTAGAGTCCCTCCAAATGGAATACCACTGTTGCCCCAAAGATGGCTGCCAGTGAAGTCTTTACTAGCATTTATGGCCACGTTCTTCTTTGTACTAATGCCTGAAGGAGACAGAAAGAGGTTATCAGATACATTCTACCCTGAAAGATTACAGTTAATAAAAAAACCTAATAAGAAAACGACACTACAAGCATTTTTGGGGCACTTTACACCTGTAGTCTGGTTCTTTTGGACAGGACGAGGAAAAATAGGAAATGATGGACACGTGGTTAATTAACTTCTGGTGACTGACAGGTCATGCTGCATTTTACTAAACCTGATGTTGTTTATGTTTATTTATGTTCTCTGGTGTCACAACAAAAACAATAGCTGATTATAAGCATTATTAGTTAAGGTTGCAATGAAAAAGAGGCTTTTACAGTTTAATTGTGGGGGAAGATATTTTATGTTTGCTACGTTTAACTTACTTTAAAATTAGGAACAGCCAAAGTTCAGAATAAGACACACTTCTGTAAATACCGTGTATTTATCAGTTATGAGCCCAAAGATTAGCAAAAAAGCCATTTTACAACGTTAGAGGAAACAGTTGCATTGGTGTGAACTGACCCGTCTCAGCTCGATTCAAGCCAGCTGACGGCATCGCCTGCAACTTATAAAAGCGTAAGGTCGTAGGTCACCTGTTTCAACAGCCAATCAGCTTGTAGCGGAGTCAGGTGGTCAAGTCAGTTACAAAGTGTCAGACTGTCAATTGAAAAGCCTGAAAGTAAGCAGTAAGAATGGAAGTACACAGAGTCGTTGCCATCGAGATGACACACCTTCTTGTATAGTTGCTTTGGTGTGAACTGGCAGGGTTGGGGAATGTTCCAAAGCGAAACATTGCAAGTAGCTGCAAGTTTCAACTCATCTCACGGCAAATCTTCAGTCTGAACTTGGCTTAAGAGATTGCTTGCTTGACAAATCATGGCCAGAAGATTGATTTAATAGTACCTTAGCTTTTTAATTCCTGCTACAAATCACATATCTACTATCACCAAGTCCTGCGGTCAGTCCTACTAAGCTCTAAGTAAAGTCTTTAAATATCTATTACCAGGTAAATATCTTGACTGCCTCAAGTAATGCTGTTTAGCAGAAGCAGTTCTTGATGGCTCTTGGTAGGCTGTGGTCTTGTTCAGGTTTAAGGGTGCATCTTCTTTTCCTTTGGGCCGACTATAATCCAGAACATTTCCATATCTGAAAGACAGAGGGCATTCAATGAGACACATGGCTCAAGCTGCAGCTCTTGTGTTGTGTTCATGTATTATACGTTACTACAGTTCATCATTAAAGTGCATTCCCTCACCTGCTCAGTGCATCCTCCCCCTGCCTCGACTTCTCTGCGGAGAAGTTACTTTTCCCGAGAATACTTATGGAGGTCAGATCAGTTTCTTCGTAGTCGTCCCAGTCTTCACCCTTCAGGTGTCCTGTGCCGTGGCCCCAACGCCGCCGCCCTCCTTTCGGTTTCAGCTGATAGCTCAGCAGGTTGGCATTTTCTGACTCCTGTCTCGTTTGCTAAAAATAACAAATCAACATCAAACACACACATGAGGAACATTTGCCACAATTACATGTTTGAAGAAAGACGTAATAATGGTGTATTTGTATAGATATGGCTGGCTGGCAGTCTCTGTTTGATGGAACCAGTCTATACTTACTCACCTTGCTCTGGAGACTCTTGTCAACAATGTAAGGAAGGTGGCTCTGTGGCGTTCCTTGTGACGTCTGTTCCTGCTTTAGGATGTGCTTCGTTTGCTGCTCTCGCGCCAGCTCTGTGTGCCGTTGGTACGCTGCTGCCTGGGCGGCGGCGGATACAGGGGAGGGCTGGATCTGCTGGAGAGGCCTGGAGGGGGAGCAGTGTTGGTTGGGAGGTGGAGGCTGGGAGGGGGGCACGGGCTTAAGCAGCAGGGGTTGTTGCTGCTGCAGCGTCTGTTGTGACTGCAAAGGAGCCTGCAGCGGCACAAGGCCTGGCTGAGGTCTGCCCTGCTCCAGGATCTGCTGAGGAGTGCCCAAAGCCTGGCCCACGTGGAAGTAAGAGTACCTGAGAGCCTGGGAAGATATTAAGATCTGTAAACAAACAACATCAGCTTTCATTCTCAGCTGTGAGGGCTGTGGAAAACACTGGGGAAGACACTACCTGGGCTGAAGCTGGCCTCTTCTTGGGATCCCACTGAAGCAGGTCTGTCATCAGATGGATTGCTTCAGGACTCGCATTCGGGATCAGTGTCTTCAGATTACTGGGAACACACTGAGGCCAACGGAAATTCATAGCACTTGCCAGTTGGTATCCCTCTGGCCAATCGTTCTAGAGGGAGAAGACACAGTCAATCTTACACAGCGCATTTATATAACATCATATTTAACAAGACCATCTTTTTTATTAACAGTAGGAGTAGTAAAATGTACTTGGATGTGACATATCTGATATGGTCCAACAGCTTCAGAAACCCCCTCACGCCTTTCCAACGTCACAATTCTGATGACTATGTTCGAATATTTCTGTAACTTTTCAAAACCACCAATCTGATATTCACACCTACTTCATGCTGTGATTGGTCAGCTGTACTGAGATGAGAAAGCGAGCTGGGTTTGAACTTCTCTCTCTCTCGCTTATTATTCGTTACACAACTATTGTCACTTTTCGTGGTTACAGCTGGAAAATGTGTGTGTGTCCCCTCTTTGAGACATCTGCCGTCCAGTGTGGCAGTTTGGGATAACAATAAACAATACTGAGCTAGTTCTTCTGATCGAGCATAATCCGATCCTTATGTGTCCCCACATGTTTAACTGTTCTTAAAATCCTTAATTTAAAATGTATAAGCCTTTCTGTCTTTTTACATTACCTTCTTTGGTGTACCCAAGACTTGGCAAATCTTGAATATGGTGTCTACTTCACTGGAGCCTGGGAAAAGAGGCCTGAGTGTATAAAGCTCTGCCATGATGCAACCAACTGCCCACTGGTCTATGGGTGAGCTGTAGGATGTGGATCTGAGGAGCACCTCCGGGGCTCTGTACCTGGTCCAAAAAGAGAGGGTACTAGGACTTGAGTGCACTGAACTATTAAACAGACTTTCATTTATCTATTTATTTAAGTATAAGTGTATTATATTTGCTCTAAAAGAAACTCACCATCGTGTCGAGACATAGTCTGTGTATGGTGGTCGCGATCTGATTTCTCGGGCAAGCCCAAAGTCGGCTATTTTCACCAGCTCTGGGCCCATGCACAGAAGATTCTCCGGTTTCATGTCCCTGTGAAAGAACCCTAACAAAACACACATCGCATTGACTTCTGTTGCAGCACATATAACTTATCACCCTGCTGTCGTAAACAGACGTACCGTGTTTATGAATGAATGCGAGCCCCTGAAGTATCTGAAACATAATATTTCTTACAGCAGATTCAGGGAACAACCGAGTCCTGCAGCAAGAAACAAACAGAAAACTGTTAAGAAACTGTCCAAATATTTACCAAATACAGTTTTAAATGTAGAATTAATAATGCAACAATACGCACCTGTCTTTCATTAGCTGATACAAATTTTCCTTCATGTACTCAAATATGAAGTACAAGTGATCATTTTCTCGAATTACCTCCTTAAGTTTGATCACATTAGCATGGTTGAGTTTCTTTAAAGACTGAAAGAATACAGAAAGCAGATCATGTAAGAATATGTGTAATGCATAGACAAAATAAATTATAGAAATAAATAGTAAGTCAAAACATGCCGGACAATACACACAGATAACTGCAGCACATTCAAAAGCACGCCCTACAACTAGAAAACAAAACCTCTCTTGTTATAACATGACTAGTGTAAGAACACAATGTAGTTTGGGGGGTAAATGCTGCAAAGGTGGGACTTATGCTTACAATTTAAAAAAGGGAAAATAATTAATAGAAAGCAAGATGGAGAAATATACACTTGTCCCATGCACTGGGATGATATAGGTTTAACCATGCTAAATCTTTAGTAAGGGGGTAAAAGCTGTAATGGGATTTTGATATTGTATGGTGTGACATGCTGTAATTATCATCTAATTAGCAGGACTCTAAGGACCAGCGTGTTCTACGCATGTTTTGCCGCATTAAGGTCAAGCTCTAGGAAAGGGGGGTGTGAAGGCCAGGGATGGGAACCAGAGCTAAAAGAAACCAACAGCACACAAGAATCACCTTCTACTCTTAGAGGCTGGTGTGTGACTTTGAGCTGTGAGGAAATTTAGACAGTGACTTGAAATCGGTGTGAAAAAAACAAACAGAACAATCTGAAACTGGACTAAAATACACAATATGTTTCATCATACCATCATTACTACATTACCCACAAATCATCAAGTTATCATAGAGTTATTTATAGCTTCTGTATTCTACACAAGTGAATGAAAAATCAACCCAGAGTCACAGGATGTGACACCAACAAGCGTGTGTAACAGGAAATATTACATGTGATGTTCAATGTTTGCTATTCCGTTCTGATGAGTTATACAAATGCGGTGTTAAAAATGTGGAAAAGAAACTCACCTTGACTTCACGAAGGTTCATGCATTCTTCCCACGAGTAGAATTTTCTTTTCATTCTGAAAAATAATTTTTACAATAAACTCATTTGTTGGGATTTAAATTAAACTCCACAGAAGTCACAGAAGTTCGCAGAACTTCGGCGCTAAACTACAAACAAATCTACATTTCTCGAATACTCACTTCTTTATGGCAACCAGCTCTCCGGACTCCAGACTGCGGCCGAGGATGACGGAGCCGTAGGTGCCATCCCCGAGCTGTCTGATGGTGGTGTATCTATTCATTATGCTCGTCCTTCCATAGCAACTTACGGGGGCAGATAATAATCGGGTGGAGAAAGGAGCTGCGTTTGCTTCCGGCTGCTGAATGCAACCAAATCTTCCTGTGACAACAGCAGAAGACCACTGGCAGAGCTGGAGGACTCATGGTGTCATGGACTTGCCTCCTTCTAGCTGAGAGGATGAGAGGTGGATGACAGAAAGTGATGTTAATTATGTAGCAGTATTAATTACAATGTACATGGCACAAAATAAACCTATAGTACAGTATTATCAGCTGATATCGATCTATCGCAGACATATCGGTGTAAATGTTACCTGAAATTATCTGATATTGTCCAAATAACTTTTTTTTTCTCCTGGTAAATAATGCAGAATAAGTGCTTGTGGTAATATACTAATATCAGTGGAAAGTTTATTGAGTTAAAATACTGTGGAAAGCAGCACAGAGTAAGACAGAAGATGCAGCTCTCAGTATGTTTAGAGTTGGTCGCCAATGTATATGTTAAACTATTTAACATGTTAAAGAACATTTAACTTAACAGCTTTCTGAGTATCTTTGCAGTCATATAGGTGAGAAATCACCACATAAAAAAGGGTTATTAAAATTCACTACATTGGCCGACATATCGGTAACATGTCTTTAACAAAGTGGGACATTTTATGTTTTTTTCCAACCATAAAATGTCCCACTTTGTTGTACTATATGATGGAGATACAGTTTCTAATTACCTACATATAACATGTCTTTATCATTTCTCTACTGCAATTTCTTGGTATGTATTGGCCCCAATATATACCGATACTGACATAGCCGCAATAAACTATAATATTATATCAATTAATGTTACACACGGACCTTTATATAACGTATTCTGGCAGTTTGACACTCGAAAGCAGTATTTTTTAAATCCTCAACAGAGGGAAAATTAAACCTGACTTTAACATGTTCATAGAAGATGATATTATAAAATGTATAACAAGTTTAGAACCAAATCATTGTCCAATACGCAGTTTACACAAGTGTGACCTCCACACACTGAAGTGAGAATAAACTTTTCAGTGAAGTAGGAAACCTCTTGTGTAGCAGTTAAACTTTTAAAGTTAACAATATTTGCACCTTCATAGAATTAGGATTTCTTTCAGTGACAGTTTTATAAAGTTTAACGAGGTAATCTGTAGTCTACCATAACTGACAACTGAAATATAGTTTTATATCTCAAATATGGCCATGTGCAATATCCAAATAGCAAGAAAGCTGTAATTATTTGATGAGGTAAAATGTGAAAACAGCCTTATAATGAAGCACTGTGATGCTGTTTAGCACAAAACCCAAACAAATGTCACATTATCACGATTTTAAGTGTTTTTCAGTGAGAATTAAAATAGCATTTGCAAACAAATAATCATTCCCACTAATAATGTATCGCAATATGCTTTGATTTGATTTATTAATAACCATATTGTGCAACTCTCATTCACCGATATAAGAAGATTGTTATTGTTATTATTGTTTATCGATAACCAAATAACTACTGGTTTTCTAGAGTGAGTTAAAAACAACAACAACAAAGAAAGAGCCTACATCTTCATCCTTCACCAACACGTTTCCACTTTTGTTCATGTTTATTATTTTGGCTCAGTTTGGTTCATAACGTTAGCTCTTATATTAACGTTAGTTTAGTTAGAGCAGACTGTAAACTAACGTAAACCCGCATTTTATTTTTAACAAACATTAATATATAAATATATATATAGAGAGAGAGGACAAAATACTGGCCTTGTTGGGCTGAATGGTCTCCTAACTTAACATAAAAACGAGAAGCAAGAATCACAACAACTCACCCTCCTCGCGTCAAATCGACAACCACACATATCCGAGCATTCGTAATCGCTGATCAACAAATGGTTTAAGGGATTAATCAATTGACTGACAGCGTCCGGAGGCTGATCAACCGCAATCCAGTGTGTCCAACACACAATATAAATACATTTCATCCAGGCCCCTGTCGTCCGATCATCAGAGTCTCGCGTTGCTATAAAAACAGCAACAAATCACAGCTCTCCTCCTCTGTGGACAAAGATACACAACGAGATGAAATAAGTTACTGCTTCCGTGTCGTACACCCCATACCGTCTGAAACCTACTGTCAGTGTCTGAAATATAACATTAAAATAACTATTTAAATATATTAATATAATCTATTGTATATGTTTTGTTTGTCTTTCCCCTTCTTATAGTCTGCATATTGCACGCAAAGGTGAACATTAATGCAAAACAGTCATTCACAATCTCATAAACAATTTAAATACACACTGGTGAAATGTACAAGTCGTATTAAGTCTCGTTCACAACACTACACAAGGATAATTTTAAAAAAGATCAATATTTATTTTAAAAAACTACGTAAAACGAGAAAGATTTTACGGCGCTAAGCAAAGCCGGAAGTGAGAGAGGAGTTGTGCTCTTGCTTCGTATTCTTCTTCTCTGGTCAAGTCGCCCACCTACAGTGAAGCAGATGGTGCAAAAGTGTTTTTATGGACCCTGAGGCAATACTTACACATGCACACACAAGTGGTGGTATACAAAGTGCTCAGACGCAACACTACAATGGATGAATAAGTTCTGCTTTGAAAACTGTACTTAAATAGTCAGAAATTAAACAAATAGCACTAAAATTTTGATTAGTAAAAGACAATTTAAGGCTATATTTACTAGTGTAATGACATCCTTCTCATTGAGTTTACCCTTTTCACCTCTAGAATTGTATTAAATCTTAAAGACTGACTAAAACAAGGCTGTTTTTTCTGATTTTCTGCCATTTTGTTTGTAAAATTCCACATATACAATAATAAACATAGATTAAAAAACAATACAATTTCCCACTGAAATGCAGTGGCGGAAAAATTTAAAGCCTCACAAAAGTAAAGTACCATTACATTAAAACTGTACTTAAGGTCAGTATGAAGGCGAATGTGCTTTGCTCCATCTCTGACACACAGATGCAATAGTGGGTAAACTATTTAGATCCATAATTTAAAGCAGAATACTTCGCAAAATAATTAAACAATTAAAAAAAAACAAAAGAAGACTTTGCTTGAAAAAGTATCACAGATGTCAGAAGGAAAAATTACTGATCCTTTCAGAGTGTTATATTACTATGTAATTCATATTAATAGGTCATCATTACTGACTCTACAATATAAGAAGTATTTTTATTGTAGCTGCAAAGTGAAGCCAGAGTAGTATTATTTAATGATGTATCATATTTTCTATCCTGCCTAACTCGTCGTTTTGCATGTCTTGATCTGCAAAAAGTAACTGCAGTGAAGTAAAAACCACAATATTCCCCTCTGAAATGTAGTCCAAAGTAAAAAAAATAGAAACACTTATTTGGGAATCCAGATTTTTGTGTAAGCTCTACCGGCGTCTTGTAGACATTTGAATGGCTCATATCTGCCCAAACCAGCTGTTTTTTACTGACTTCACTTGCAGAACTTGTCTGCCTTCAAATTACTACGCTGACAGAGGACATGCTGTGTGCAGCTCTGCTACTCTGGCAGTGTTTCTTAAAGCTTTTTAACCCAGAGAGTTTGTTTACTTACTTTACTTCTTACTCTGGAAGATACCAATAGTTTGAAGGGAAGGTCTTCAGTGACAAGTTAATTCCAGTGATGTATTTTACAAACGAGGTGAAACAGTCTCCTTATGAAGCTGAAGTAGCCCAGAGGACAGAGGAGCTACTCAACCATTGTGCTCAACACAGAGGTGGGCCTGTATTTTCATTCTTCAGTAGAATAACTGAATGGTAAACATATGGAGCAGGTCTGTGATTAGTACGGCCAGTAGTGTGCCGATCTGTTTGTAGAGCACTAACACTTTATGTCAATATAACTCAGAATGGGTGACTACCGACATGCAACAAGGACAGAAATGTGAAGCCGACACTGTTATGAGTTCTAGGAACATCTTATCGTCATTTTACATTATTTTCTGTTATTTTGTAGACCAGCGACTTTGATCAGGGGTTCTCAAACCTTTTCATGCCCGGTACCCCCACAGTAGATGCACTTTACACAACAGACCCTCGATTCAAGAAGATTTTGTCTTAAGGAATCAACTCTGAGGATTTTACTTTTTAGGGCTGAAGATAAAAAACATATAGTCACAGTTTAATCAATAATCAAACTAGGATCACTATAAACCTTCAATTAATCAAAACAACCAACCTTATTTCTTTTCTTGTTGCCCCAACTTCCAAAAACTGTGACAACCCACTCAACCCACTGTTGGTTGGCAAATTAATCAATAATTAATCCAAATAAATAAAAAATAATTGAATTTTTATATCACAACAACAACAACTACTACTAATAATAATAATAAAAACTCAAAATATTTACAAACAGAACCTTCTAGGAACATACAGTACACTAAAGGTAAAAAAAATGCCTATAAGTTTGTATGATTGTTAAATAAACAGAGAATTGTATAATAAATTCCCTAAAATCAGGAAAACTAATCTCTGATCAACAGTCACAAGAAATAATCTGCTCAAAATTCACCCAAAACACTTGCTGCAGTTATTGTGTTTACTCTTTGAGTTAATTGTACAGTGGTTCTGTACTGTTACTATTATTATGCATTATTAATATAAAATATCAATAACCCAGTCAGGGGTCATCAGTTTGACTCATTGATAAGAAAATGATCTTATCAATGTACATTTGATCTTTTTTATAGCTTTTATATATCTTTTATTTATATATATATTTATATTTTGTTCTTAATAGATGCTGCTTGTATAATATATGTTGTTTGGTTATCTGGATAACAAAAATAATTTCCCCCTGGGATTATTAAAGTATTTCTGATTTCTGATTTCTGATTTTCTGATTTTCTGATTTCTGAAAAGAGGATCCTCCTCCAGACTTATTCATTTATCTATTTATCATACACAAATAAATATTTTCATTCTCCAATATGTGACAACGTAGCTCACAGATACAGATCACTACAGGCTCCTTCTGGCTCTCCGTATCTTCCTAACTTCGCCACACTCGCGGACTTCCTGTGTCGCTGAGGCTCCGGAGAAATGGCTGCGTTCCTGCGAGCTCGTAAATATGTCCGCTGTGTTGTCCGCTTCTCCGACCGTGAACTGTAAACGCTAGTGTCGACCGCTTGTGAATCCAAAAAGAAAACAAAAACAAAAAGGATAGCTACCGGGCCAGGGCTTGTCATGGTGGGTTTACTGTTGTTGTTGTTGTTGTTTTTACGAGCGGTTATTAAAGGAGCAGCGTGCGTGAGCTAGGTGGCTAACGGAGCTAACGTCACCTGTATTCCTCACCTGTGGTTCAGTTCAGCTGCTCTGAAATGTCTTTTCTGAAATGGTTTAAGGTGATTCAGATGTGGCCCGAGTTTTAGCAACAAGTCCTTTAAGTGAACCCGCATGCTGGCGTGAGATGGTAGCAGTTATATGGAGGCAGCGTTAGCATGAAGCTGCGCAACTAACTAGTGTTTTTAACCATATGTGGCGTGGGGCGTTTACGAGCTGTTTGCCAGTCGGGAGTTTCTGGATTAGCTTGTAGATTAACAAGTGCTTTAATTAAATTAGTTTATTGAACGAGTTTCGGAGTTTTAGTATATTTTTCTTGATGAATTGATATTAATCCGTTTGTCTTTGCTTCATTTCCCTGCGTCTAACATCACGTTTGTTTTTATAGTGGGGGTGGAGTTTTTAGGTTTACAGTATGTCAGTGAAGCAGTCTTGTCATGCTTGTTTACATTACAAATGTACATTTGACTGTATGTGACGTCTTTAAGTCATTGCATCTTTCTGTTGTTGCAAAATAAAATGTGAATTATAAAGGTTAAAAACTAAATGTGTATTATAAAGGTTAAAAACTAAATGTGTATTATAAAAGTTAAAAACAAAATGTGCAATAACACAAGCGAAAAAAATAAAAGAATCTAAACAAAGTGGGTATGAAAAGAAGGTATAAAGTTTAAATGAAAAGTTAACTTGAATTGACTGACCTGACATTTGGCCTTTACACCATGTGCAAGAGGAGTTAAAAATACACTCTTATTATGTAAAGAGTATAAGTGTGTGGCGAAGGGAGTAGCCAAGTTGTAATGGGTTCCTTATATCGGGTTCCCCAGTGAATGAGCCAGATTTTAGGCTGAGTAGATTCATGTCGGCCACATCATGGACATTTTATGGTAAAATTACCCCTGCGGTAGAAGGAGTGGGGTCTGACGGGAATTTGCGGCTCACTTTAGTGAGCCAGAGATTTTGGTTCAGCTCGACAACAAGAGTCATTTCATTTAGTATAATTTCTTCTGGGTATAATTCAGACAAATGTGACAGTATTTTGACCTATGATTGGTATGTGTGCACTTATGGCACTTCAGTTATTCAGTGCAATTACTAAACCTTAGAATTTCCAGAATACCATAATTTGACATCATGCTCGGTATAAAAACGTTGAATAATATAAAATTATAATATGTGTATTGAATACTTTGATTGATCCTTGTTCCTACGTTTAGCTGTCAAACCACTGAACCAAGCAGAAGGTGCATAATCGAAATATATCTTTATATAATGTATCAATGATGAAACGACGATAAGAACTTGAGTTTGCTGACACACTTGAATAATAATAATAATTATTATTCCTATATATGAGACACAATTTCAGCTCCATTACAAGATGCTTTCAGCTAATTTGTTCTTGACCGCTTCTTCTTTATTCCAAACTGGATGGACTCGGTTTTACCCCAAATGTATTGAAAGCTTATTATCTAAGAGCCACTCTCTCGTGCTTTCTAATTCATTACTAAGAGTGCTCTCCGTCTCACCGACATCATTCCCAGATACCAGTACAGCAGAATCATCAGCATCTGCTATTCTGTGTATGTTGGCACGTAGTAAAAGTCTCACTGTGCTCGGGTCTTAAAGTGAAACGTCTCCGGTTTGGATTGAACAAAGTACTGTACATGATAACATCATCCTATTATTCTGTCTTGTTTTCATTTGTTTAAAAAGTCGACTCATTCGTGAACAACGCATCAATACAGTCTAACCAGAAATAGATAACGCCACATTACAGGAGTGCTGTTATGCCCAATGTAGAGAAAGCTAGAGCGCAACAGGAAACAGTTTCTTACCTACCAGTTTTCTTACTGATTAATTGTCCGTTGTTTGTTGTTGATAGTTTAATTTAAGAGTTACTATTTTAGAAAATTGTTTAAAAAAAACGGCCTATCACGATTCCACAGAGCTTAAAGAGATGTTTTTACATTTAAAAAAATCAAATACCAACATATTGGCTTTTAGTCATTTTTTGAAGCACAAATAAATAATCTTGATTTGGATCCCTTAGCTTACTTTTTAAAAGAATTGTGACCAATAACCAGATAAATGGGATATTATACAGTTGTAAAATCTACGTATCAGCGCTCTCTGGTGGACCAACTATGTAATGGGGATATTGTTTCTTAATTGGCTCAGACCTAGTTTGATATTTCTGTGCTCTAATTGTTATTTATCGGCAATAACGACATCTACAATAAGTTAATATCCACCTGGAGGATTTATTGGTCTATTTACAGTTATATATAACGTAACAATGACAAAGAGACATCCCTCGTCATTTCTCCACAAGGTGCAGCTTTAAGTTTAAATATTTAAACATTTAACACAGTTCTGCATTCAAGGGAAGTCATCGTGGCCGGGTTGGGACTCGGTGAGCCGCTCAATGTCCTGCTGTCACCTGGGAAACCAGCCATCTGCAAGAAAACATAGCTCATCCAAAAACTAAACAAACCCACTGCCGCAGTAGTTAGAGGTTGTCAGGACAAACTGAGTTTCCTCTGATGGATTAATGAATACTTCATTTCTTTCTTGTACAGGCTGAAGAAAATACAAATATTGGAAGTACAATAGAGGATGAAGATGAAGCTTCAGATGACCCAAATCTTCAGGTGAGAAATCTGTGGACATAAATCCTTATTTAATATTTTATTTCTAGATAATTGACTATATTATTGGACACTTAGTTACTGCACCATCTCTAAATATCTGTTTTATTATTTGACTCTGTTCTTGTTATTTGTTTCTGTTGAGTTGATGCCTTAAAAGAGCGTGTATGCTCACCCAACCTACCCTGTATAAATAAATAATGGTTAAATAAATATTTGGCTAATGGAGATCATCTGACTAAACCACACTTCTGCTTCACATTCATTGGTTACTTCTGTAGTCCTGAGGAAAAAGTTTTGTCACATTAGCACCAAACGAAACCTTGTTGAAATCAAAAATAACCTTTTTTCCCAAAAGGTTTCGGCTGCTAAACATTTGTCATTTTGGAAAAAGGTACTATAAATCAATTTCTCCATTCATGAAGAAGTCTGATTTACACTATTTCCAATGCAGAAACAGTTCCTGATGGACCCTGCTGTTCCAGTAATGCTGTAAAACAACTTTTTTGGCACTGAGTAACTTCTTTAATTGAATTGCAGGTGCAGCTCAATGCGTTCAGAGCTCAGTGGATGTCTGAACTCAAAACGAGCTCTGGAGCTAGCGGGACGACTGACCGACTGCTGCGAGCTAAAGGTCTGAAGAGGACGCAAGAAATTGCTCGGGAGGAAAAAGTAAGTTGTGATATGATTTCTCCAGGGCATGTCCTTACGTGAAATGCTGTCCCTGAATGTGAGTCATCTGCCCTCAGGCTACAGAGCTGTTCTTGAGAGCTGTTCAGGAAGAGCAGAATGGAGCTGTCTATGAGGGTATGTATGATATATGGGGATCAAAATCACCAGTGATAGTAATAAAATGTTAAAAATTAATTCTTACGGGAGTAACAGAAATGTTACAGTTAATTTACAGTGTAAGCTTGTGGAAAATACTTAATTATATCAGATTTTAAATGGATATATCTAACAATCAGTCATCTTAAATGAAAATCTGAATGATTTCTACAGTTCAGAAGTGATAGCCATTGTGATACATGTTTAATTGTCGCCCATATAGTTCTGTAGTTTCTGTATGAGGAACATAATCAGGTGATTGCATTACTTGAGCACTTCAATTAAATTTTCTTGTTAACATGTAAGTTGTTTTCTTTACTTGCAGCTATCAAGTTCTATCGCATGGCTATGCAGATTGTGCCTGACATCGAGTTTAAAATCAACTACAGCCGTCCTCCCGACACCGACCGAGGTGGAGGAAACTAGTAAGCTGCTCTTTATTTTTGGATATTAGATTAATTAATCAAGTCTTTAATGTTTCAACATGCAGTGGAGGGTCAGGATTTTGATCTTATGATCTCTTAAAACACAAATTTTAATGTTTTCTTTTATCTATAACTTAAACTGCACAACTGTGTATATGAATTTACCTCTAACTCATGTGATTATCATAGAGTTGGCGTGATTTGTGGACGCTAA